TTAAAATAGTACTGAAAAATATTTGCATCTACTATGCAATTGTGAAATGTGGCTTGGTGCTCTGTTTACAATGGGCAAGCAGACGGTTATTTTATTGCAAGAAATAACTGGCATCTTGCATGGATTTTTTGTGACGAAGTGCATTTTTTGCTCCTTGAAATCTTCACATTTCTGTCAGTCTGAAAAATGATACAGTCTCAGTCTACATCTTGATAATTTGTAGGAGGATATTCAGCATTTGGGTTAAGAAAGCACCTTTAATATATAAGATTTTTCACATGTATTTGAAGCAAATGAATATCTCATATGAACAGCAAGACGCTGTCAAATGCAGTGTTCTTCCATAGCTTCATGCTATGGCTGTCTCAAGAATGATGATAGAGAGAATAGGGCATAAATCTAAATTTCTCATTTTCCACCTCCACATTTTGAAGTGCTGAAAATGGGAGAAATACAGAAAGGCAACCAAGTTTGCAGATACTGTTATAGCTCTAAATAACATGAATCTTGGCTCTACCTACATCCAGGGCTGCAATAACAAATTTTCATCCCAGCTGCACATCCTGCATTTATTAGCAATTAACACCATTTTGATTTAATTTCTAGCTGCTTCTATTCCTTTTTACATATGCAGCATGTTCCACACCAGCATTTGAGTTTAATCTTCTAGTGTAACTGATAAATATGGATGTGATGGGAGGTTCATGGCTCTGTAGGAAAAGAAAAATAACTCTGGGATTTGATTTTATGTATAATTAAGTAATGAAAATATTAATAATATAGTTTATATAATTTCGCTACTAATCTAGTATTGGATGCATAAGTGGAGAAAGAGTGACAATAGCCTTACTTATGCACAAAGCTTCCTGTGACTGCAAACATCCAGAAGAGTAAGTTAATTCTGAGTGGTTCAGTGGATGATAACTTATGATAACTTATTCAAGTGTAGATGGCTGGCTTGGGAAGAAGGAAATTGTCAAGAATCTTTACTTAAAATCAGAATTTCATTTTTCATTTTATAATAATTTACCCCTCATACAGCAACAAAATTTTATTTAAATAAATTGTTAAAAATGTATTCCAGATCCTACCAAAGCAGACAACAAAATATTGGAACATGAGGTAAGCAACAATAACACCAAGAACATATTTAATTTATAACGGAGATCAATTTTTCTATATGGATAATAAACAACTTGAAAAAAGTTGCATTCAGAGATTCAAAATAGTACATTCTTCCCACTATTAAATAAAATCTTAGGGAGAGCAGAAGCATTGCTGAAGAAACACAAGCAAGACAAAATTAAAACAACAACAACAACAACAACAACAGTTTTGAATCAAAACTAGAAAACCACCAAGAACTAAGAGTGTTAAGGTATCTGGTATGGTACAAAAGTTATTTCAAATGTAAGAGTATACATATACTCAAAATGACCTAAGATTAAGATAGCATCTAACAAGCCAGGTATCATTCAGCACTGTCATCTTACAGAAATGTTTTGTATCCTTTTGTCTCCACTAATGAGGCTATTCTATAATTTATAAACATTTTCTTGTGGCTCTTCTCAGTGAAGATACATGTTTGCTCTTCAAACTCATTAATATGTTTCTGTGACAATACTTGTATGGAAGACATTTATGCAACACCACTTGGAAAAGCTTAAATTTGTATTATTCTTTTGAATTGCCAACTGAAATTCACCCAAAAATAAATAGTTCTTTTAGGCATAACTTAAAAATCCAGCAGAAGAAGCTCATAATTTGATGTTTTTCAATAATAATAACATATGCAGGGGCCTAGTGTTTTTATTTCTATTAATTTGCACAGGACTTTCCCATTAAGGTGGTATATTGATCTCATAGCTCTTGTTACAACGTTTCATGCTAATATACTGACAAAAAAAAAAAGGCAGCAGGATAAAATGCTCAGGAACTTTCGATCTAACATTTCTGAAGAGCTCCACAAGGACCTATTATAACAAAGCAATTGGATGATGTGATGACAAAATTAAATTGAATGTAGAAAATTGCAAGGTAGGGCACATTGGAAAGAACAATTTAAGCTACTCATATGCACTGATAACTTCTAAATTACTTAAAAGATGCCAAGGGGAAAGCAAACAAACAAACAAAACCCATGAGTCATCAAGGAGAACTGAATAAAGACATTTGTGCAGGGTGCAGATGGTGCCTAAAAATCAAGAAAAGACGTGAGGTTGTATTAAGGAGGAAATAAGTTATACTATTGGAGTTAAAATGTTAATAACTATATCACTGCTGAGTCCTTGCTTTGAATAGTGCATTTCCTATCAAGCAATATTTTCATAATCACCTGAAGAAGGCTATCAAATGAAAAACCAACCTTACCACTGAATTATAACAGATCAAAAATAGTACAGCCTTTAAATAAAGCTAACATTTCCAAAGAAAAATGGCTTGGCAGCTTGGCATCTTCACTATGGTTCTGGAGAAGAGGAGGCTCAGGGGAGAACTTATTGCTACCTGAAGGGAGGCTGTAGTGAGCTGGGGGTCAGCCTCTTCTCTCATGTAACTGGTGATAGGTCTAGAGGGAATGGCTTCAAGCTTTGCCAGGGGAGATTTAGGCTGGACGTTAGGAAATACTACTTTTCTGAAAGAGTGGTAAGCACTGGAATGGGCTGCCCAGGGAGGTGGTGGAGTCACCGACTGTGGATGTGTTCAAGGAACGTTTGGATTTTGTGTTGAGGGACGTGTTTTAGTGAGAACTATTGGTGATAGGTGGTTGGTTGAACTGTATGATCTTGTAGGTCTTTTCCAACCTCAGTGTTTCTGTGATTCTGTGATTCTGGCTTCCTTTTACTGAGCAGTTTTGGAGATTCGTGTTGGAAGTAACAGTATTGCATGATGTTTGGGGCCGAATGGAAGAATTTGAGTGCTTTGACTTTAATTCCCTCCTGGAATTTATTTGTGTTGACTGCCGACCAACTGTCTGAATCTTAACATTAAAAAGACAGGAATTACTTAGTCACTGTCTCTTTTCTTCTGTGTCTGTTTCAATTCCAGACATCTCTGCATACACTGATGATGAACAGACTCATCTTCCAGTCTGGATGCAGGCGCACAGTTTGTGCAGTATTTGTTACTTATATAGACATATGGTTAGCTGGTCTGTTTCATGAGGAAAAAAAAGCAGCAAATGCCAAACTCATGCCAGTTGTAAGAACACTGGGTTTAAAACAAAAACAACAAATATAAAAATATGAAAACTTTGCTAGAAAATGTATGACCAGACTCTCATCTGTTGCAGTGATGCTTTTGTATCAGTGGATTTCTGACAATTTACAGGGGGCTCTGGTCACTTTTATACTACATTTGTACATCTTTATTTCAGGAATTTATTTGTACATCCTTTTTCAGGGATTCTTGATTCTCTCATTTCCTTTGTTTCATGCTCACAAAAGAACTTTCTCCACCATCTGACATGAACATAAGAGTCTGACAATGAATTCAACACTAGATAGAACTCTTGAATTATTCTTACACTGTTGTTGAGGCAGAATCAACACCTATGGGAAGCCACCTCTGAAAGAACTAGTTGCCACACAAGTAACATTTGTTGACTTATTCCTTTACAAGCTGATTTGCAACTAGGCTTTTTTTTTTTTTTTTTTTTTGTCAAGTTCCTTTGTCTTAAGTATTTCTGATTGGTAATAAAGAGTGATTTGTTTAGGAAGAACTGAAAATACTGCAAAACTGATGTACAGTTTAAAGTCCTACAATGAAAAAAGTTGGCACTCTTATGAAGCTCCATATGATAAGAAGGTCTACATAAAAGAGGTCAAATACTGAAGCGCTGAGTTAGGTGAAAGGAGCCAAAGCTTTACAAATAGCTAATACAAGCAACCGAGTAATTTTATATACAGCACTTTTTGGCATAAGCAAGATCAGGTTCAGGCTTTTATTATTTGATTACAATGCCCCACTTATTTTGACAAATCGGCCTTTTGGTCTTTGATATAAAAGCTTTATTTATTTCCAAAAATACACTGTAATTCCTATGTCCTTTACTGGCAACCTGGCTAGTAAGGGTGTTTGCACCTTCCTCTAGGCTGGTGTAATGCTGACAGAGAATGCACTCTTCAATTCTTACAGTGCTGACACCTACGGATTTAGATTTGATCACAGTGATGTCAAGAATAAAGCTTTCTGTAGGTATGTTACTTTGTTGACCAGGGAAGAAATGTTAGGATTAGCTCAGAAAGAAGACAGGTTATCTGTGTTGATGACAGGAAGGTTGACTTGAGAGGTTGATCTGGAATATGCTTTCAGAAATTCTTCCCCTTTGTTTCTGTGAGAAACTATATTATTGCAATCACATTTCTACCATATTTCAGACTTTCTCTTAGAGTCTTCTTCAATAAAGTAATATTTTTCAAGGCATTTAATTCCTAAGTATTGACTAACAGAGGATTCAAATTAAAGAAGACTTCACTTACATTTAACTCATTTTACTGAAATAAAATTTTTTCCTCAGGACAACAAAATATCACCTCATCCATTCAAATATTTTTATAGACAGATTCAAATGAAATTACAGGAGTGAGGGGAGAAAGAGATTAAACAAATGCAATAAAATTGATCGTTCACATGAACCCAAAGGTAAGGTCACATTTCCAAATAGGGTCCCAAAACCTTAACCATGTACTAGTATCTACAGGCAATTTCAGTGTCATTGTATTAATTTCAATGGAATTGTACCCATTTACAAGAACAGAAAATTTGATCCATCCATTTATACTGTCACCGTTCTTCCGACTAGAAGGGAAAGCCATAACTAGTTCTGACAGATGAAAAATGAGGCAAGAAAATTGAGATTGGGTTGTTTATCCCATTTCTCACAGAAGCTGATTAGGTGTAGATCAGCCTAGGGAGTGTGGAACATTCCCTGCTGTTACAACTTTTAAATACAAAATAGATGGCCTCCTAAATGGACCTAATGAATAAAGTACTAATTGCAGATTCATTTTCTTAGTACTCTGTTGTGGGAATTGTTAGATCATCCAAATGCTCATTGTGACTCAACAGTCTAAGCACCTAAACCTGGAAACCAGCCAACAAGTAGATATACACATTTCCAGTTCATCCTTGAATGTCATATTTGAATGTTCTCTTACAGTTTGCAATTCTTGTTGACCAGATCAGCTGAGCTACTCCTACCTTGGAACACCTGGTCATCAGTTGCTCAGGTTCTGGCTCAGGTTATTTTTGCCTGCTTCTTGGATGAAAAATAGTCAAATTTGGCAGATTTCAGAGTAGTCCGTTGGAGAGGATATATTGATGATGGATGCACAAATGTTTTTAATGTAACTCCATTTGCAAAAAGGATAAACTCCTACTTCCCTGATACTGATCAGGAATGCTACACCTTACTGTAGTCAGCACTTATCCTAAGACTCTCTTTCCCTTCATTCCTCAAAGGTCAGTGTGACTTCTTTGCTTTTCATTTTACTGCATTTCCTTTTGCTTCTTCCCTTTCCCCTGTTAGTTGTAGTTCTGCATTTGTTTTGTAATTTCCTAGGAAAAGAATTTAGCCTTAATGCTTTCTGCTTTAGTCTTACCAAAAAGCCTCTGTTCTGACTGCAGCTTTTACTATTTTTGCTATGGTTGAACAATAAGGAATTCTCCTTCATTTAACCTGTGTGGAAGAACAATTGCTTAATACAGGAGTTTTTAAAAACCACTGTTGCATATCTTTTGCATGTGCTAGGTTCAGGAACAGATTGGTGACTGATGGAAGAAAGTAATCTCCACTGCCAGACTCCCTGCTGGAGTTTAAGAAATGCTTGTACTAGCCTAAAGATAAAGTAAAACTGGAGAAAGTACATGCTTTCTACTTTCTAAATAACAAGAAGGCAAAGCTAGGAAAAGCCAGTATACAGGGAAATCTGTAAGCATGAAGTCTCATGAAGAAATCCATTCCACACAACATAGCTTTCACTCAAGACCAATTCAACATGGCAGAAGAGCCAAAAGAAATGAAAAGAATGAACACCAATATGACTAGAGAGTGATTTATGAAACTGAATTAGAAAATAATCACCTTCACTAGATAGACAGGTTTCTTTCTTTCTCCCAAAACAGCCCTGTGCAAATGTTGCTGCGAAAATAATTCTGAGAGGACTTTTTCATGAAGATGGAATGAAAAACTATTTTGTTGGTTGTTAATTTAATTCAAGTATGGTATGCATCACTGTTAGATGTTGTTCAAACAAAAAACCCTTTGAACTTTTACAAAGCTTGACAAATTAATCATCTAAAAACATCCATCAACAAAGGATGTAAGACATTTATAATGCATTCATTGTTACATGCCAATTAACAAGACCACATAGCAGCATGTAGCCTTTCCATACACTCTGATGTTGATCAGCTGGACAGCTTTTGCCAAAATAATCACCATCTTCAAAATATCTTCCCCTTACCCAACAGTACGTGAGAGAAAGCTGCTGTTGTTTCAGATATGTAGATTGTTCTCTTCTCATCACAAAAAATAACTGTTTCAAAGAAAACTGGTTTGGAAGTAAGGAGTGCTGGAAAAGACAAGAGCTCAATCAAGCTTCACTGTCATGTATTTTAAGAAATCTCAACTAGATCTTAACCGGGCAGTCATTAACATGTCAAGTGACCTTACTTGAACAAGAGCTAAATAAAAAGTCCCAAGAGCCTTTTCACTGATGATATTCTTCAGTAAATCTCTGAATAAAATGCTTGTGAACAGCTGAAAAAGAATTATGGAGAGATTCACATGGAAAGAAAATGACAGTTTCGGGTTTGTGAAGCACAATGTATTTCAGGTGTCTGACTTTTTGGAATGAACAGTGGAGAAAATCAAAATTATTGGGGTTTTCCAACGAAGTAATTGCTTGACAAAGCATAATGTGAGAATGTGAGAAGAAATTAACACCATTATAGGAACATATTCACGCCAGCTTTCCTCCTGAATGCTTGAGAGATAATGAGCAACTAGCATTCTATGGTTCATCCTACCAATTATATTATTTATTATTACCTAGGCATGTGTTTTACCTCCATATCAAATATTTAGACAGGAATCTTCCTGGAACCTGCAAGACTTCTATATTTTATGTGCTGTATTTTGTGTCTATCACAAACAAGCCTTTATGAGAAACTAGATCTTTAGACATCCAGGAGTAAAAACTTTCAAGGATAAATATATTTGCACCAATCTCTCTAAGAAATTCATGTCATAGGTGACCAAATTTTCAGCTCATAAGTAACAGAGAAGGGAAAACCTGCTGTTCTGAGAGCTGGAGTATCACATGTGACAATTTTAAAAGTAAGAAAAGAGTAAGACTAAGAGTTCCTCTTATGAGAAGGAAGGGAAATTTACACAGAAGACATAAAGCTGTGGTAACTGAAGTCTGCAAACTTTTGCAAAACCTTGTTTCTATTAAAAAAATATACTGTGAAAGCTGAAAACTAAGTATCCATTAGGGATGAGGATTAGAATGTAAGAATAGGACTTCTCTGCTAAATTGTATGTTTTAAACAGAGGTTTTCAACTATACACATCTCTGCAGAAGGAAGGGCAATCATATTAACTACAGGGTAGGTAATTTAGTACAATGTATGGGAAAAAAACACCTTAAATCTGATATTCTTCTGGGCCTCAGAGGACCATTCAAAAACCAAAATGGACAAACAAACAAAAAAAAACCAACAACAAACAAAACAACATAAAAACCCAACAACCAAAGCAAGTTTCCAAGAGAGACTGAATAAACCATACCCAGCATTTCTGGATGATTCTTCTGCTATTTACATTGTTCTTATCAGATCAGTTTCTCCAGAACACATGCAAACAGACTCCGACCTTACTCACATAAGTATGTTGATTGTAAAAGCACTATTTCAACAAGATCACAATAAATCTGAAGAGTGGACACCCTAAGTATCAAATGGACTAGTTTTCTCCAGCCCATGTTTTTCTCCTTTTCTTCAATAGCTTTTGAAGAAGCTGTAAGAAAATAGAGATGCACTTATAAGAAGTGTTTTGTCAAAGCTCAGATTGTAATTCTTAATCCATCATACGGTGTGCCATGAGCACTCAACAGATGTCTGCAGATGGATTCAAAACAATTAAACAAACAAACAAACCCACAAAAATACTAGAAGAATAACAAAGACGTATTCTGCATTCATTTTAAATATATAATACAGATTTTCTATTCTTGCTGAGCTTACCTACTGTTAAACTGGGTTAAATATGCCTTTTGAAAAGAATTTCCACCTTGAACCACCATGTATGTAATGTACCAGACCCTTTAAGATCTTTCTAGATCATTTACTAAATGTACTTGGAGCTGACATAGTTTATCATTGCATTTGTAATACATTACATGACATTTTACTTGCATTCCACTATGAAATAGAGCTAACACCAATATAAAGAAATTATTACAATTAATAAAAACAAAGATGTATGAAGTCCTGGTCCTGAAGTAGGAGAATGGCAGACAAAATACAGAAACTGCTTCTCTGCAAAGTACAGAAATACAAATGCTAACAGAGAAATTGCACTGTAGTTGTGGATACTGGCACTGTCCCAGATTGCTGCCTTGCTTATATCCACACAAAACTAATCTTCCACAAACTCATTTATAAAGGTCTCCTTGGGAAAAAAACCTTTCAATTCATGAAGGAAAAAAAAAAATATTCAAGTTCAAAAATGACTTTCATGAATTATCTAGCAATAAACATTCCAAAGTCCTGAGAAAAATGCATGGCTGTATCCATTTTGTTCTTCAATGTTTTAGAAATACTCAGACAACATGAAAGGACACTATTAGGGCCTTGAAGATGCCATGATTCCAGCAGAGCTGAAGACCAGCTTCCTGTAGAGCAAACAGCCTTGAATCGAAGTGACTAATTAATGACATCAGCTCCTTGGTAAGACAGGTACCTTTTTTTTACTGCAAGCAGTAACAAAACAGCTGAAAACTGGAGGCAGTGAATACATGGAACCTTTGCTGCCTCACACTCAGTGTGCATCCAGAACACTTGCACTGTGCCTGCACACGTGGGAACCAGCTTACACACTGATGGCAGCACAAAGTGACCGAATGGGCAGTGTTTGGTGAGGAGTTGGGTACATGCCTTTAGACAAAAATAGAAAGTGTGCTATCAGTACTCAAATTAGCAAGTATGCAGCTAGCTCTTTTCTTCATGTGCTGAGGCTGCTGAGTACTGCAGGCATTGCCTCAGATGGTGTTGGCTTGGGATGGAGGCAGGGCAGGCAGGAGGAAATGAGAGGAGAGAGACCAGGGGAAGTGGCAGAAAGAAACTGAGGGGATAGAAGGAAAATAAAGGAGAGCAGCCAGGAGAGACCAAGGAAAACAACTAGATACTTTTTTTCTTTTTTTAATTGGATTTCATGTGCAATTTATTTAAGTGCAATGACTGAAAAACCACGGTGTGATGTAGAAAGCGTTGATATTATATATATATATATATATATATATATATATATATAATCTCTGCCACTTTAAACCTCTAGACCTCAAAGTGCAGAAGCCATGTGGAAGGGAATCCCCAGAGGTGAAGGACTGGCTCTACACCACCCCATGTAACAGTGAATGGCCAAGGAACAGACACCGGAATCACTGCCATGGTCATGAGGCATTCAGGTGCAACAAATAAAATACCCTTCTCTCCCCAGTGTGTATTCTGAATCTCTTCGGATGGTGAGAAGACTCAGGGAGTTGAACACACTTTCTGATGCACTGCCTGCAAAATACAGGGGAGGCAAATAAATTAAGGAGGGAAGAGATTAAAAGCATGTTTTAGAAGTTTTAGTTTCAATTTCTGCTCATGGAAACTATTAGCATATGTACAGCAAATTGTATGAATAGAGATACAACTAGTAGCAGCAAACTGGACATTCTCACACACAAAATCCTTGATTACTTGAGAGAAGGGAATTAGCTCTGAGAAAGTAAGAGCTACAAAGAAGCCAGTTTCTGAGGGGATAAACATCAACCCACAGTATTACTGATACATACAGAAAGTGCATGGAGCTGTCCCAGCACAAGATGATGCAGAAGTACCCAACTCCTGCCCACGATGCTGGTTACAACATGCTTTCCACGACATGAAACAGATAACAAACACCAGTGCTCTTCTGGCTCTGCTGACACATCACTCACACTGCAACTGGACAGCAAGCTGTGCTCCCATGTGTTACTATATGTGGCAACTTTTAAGATATGATTTTCTCATTTCTCAGATTAGCAAGTACTTTTTGGGATGGATACATCAAATATCTTAATGAAAACTAGTATGTAGATGTTTTGCTTGTTATACATCAATCTGATGCATCAAAAACATGCACACACACAGAGCATTGCTCATTTCACACAGCTCATCCAGTGAAAGGAAGTTGTTGCAGGGTTTCTAAATAGGCTGAAAGAAAGGATTCCAAAGCTCTGTGAAAAAATCACTGCGCAACTCTCCAGTCAGTAATAAACTCTTCCTTCCAGCAAACAGGTAGCAACTGTCTTCTAGGAATGATAATGTCTCACTGTTTTGTTAGATACAGATAGATATGTTATGAAGAAGTGCATCATCTTCTGAAGGTTGCCAGTAACTGCCAAACAAAACTAGGACTCAGTTTCCTTTGTTCCTTAACTTGATATTCCTCACTTCACGGGCAAGAAGGACATTATCTTAAAAGACAGTGTTATAAAAGCAAGAAGGAAATGAAGTGAGAAGTAGTTATATGTAGGGAATATTGAGGCACATCTTCAGAGCTCTAGATCTTCCAACAACGGAAGGAAAAGGAGAAAACCAGACATACAATCCACTGGCAATTGGTGCTTGCCTTCTTGCTTATAATCCCACTGAATTATTCCTTTAAGTCTGTGTTTGTGGGGAAAAAAAAAAGCAAATCTCTTACTAATTGGAGTGCCTATTAAAACCTGAAAAGCTCCAATAAATTCCAAATTACTGTACAGCATCAAGTGGCTGTTGGAATGTTTCTTTTTCTTTTTTTCCTTTCTTACTTCTTTTCTCTTCAGGGAACATCTGAACAATTTTGAGAGTTGGAAGAAAACTAAAAAGCCCCATATGGTCAGATAAAAACCTCATTGAAAATACCAGAAAACAAAACAAAACCCTTAGAACTTCCAGAGCACCACTTTAGTTGGACTCAAGTACATCACTATGCATCAAAATGAGTTTGTGCCACAAGCAAAATTTTCTGCGTCTAAGAATCTGCACATGTATACAGAGATATGCAGAAATACAAATTGGGAACTTCAGTTCTTGGCAGCAAAAGCATTGCTCAATCGAGGCTGATAAAGCCTAGGGCTGATTTAAAAGTCCTATATACGTAGCTTTATAAAACATGGATTTCACTCACAGATATATATATATAACTTGCCTGCTTACCAAGCACTGAAGAACAAGAAGCTATGGGAACATAGGAGGTCTTTTTGCTTTTGTTTTTACTCTTTCTGCCAATAGTTCAGTACAGTTCTTTGAATGCAAGCATTTATATCTACACTAACTCCATACAAAAGATTCCACTAGTTCTGCAAGCACAGATGCACATCAGACAGCTTTCCTGTGGCTACCTCCTGTACTGATTCAGTGGTGTGGACATAACTGTGAGTCACACTGCCAATTGCCCGCGTTAAACAAAGATTAATAAGGTAATGTTTTTTAATTGCAAATCTGTGAGAGAGCTTAAAGAAACATCCTGCTTTTAATCTTAAATTGCATCAGAAGTCTTTAATTGCTTAATTTTCTGAAACTGCAACGTTTTCCCTTTACTCATTGTCATATAATATTTATAAGGTACCTACACCTCCGCCCCTGGGGTGCTTCATAAGCAATTAAAATGCAATCATCATAATAAAGAAATAAATAACCTTAATTAAAACATTGCACAGGAACCTTCCTCAGATGCAGAGCCAGTGGGGAGCTGTCTGTCTCCCAGAAGTTTTACATATCCATCAGACTGAGATCCAAATGCAACATCGGGTTTCATGCACATCATCTGGGTTTATTACATTCCCTGAAGGCCATGGATTCAAACCCCACCAAATAGATGATAGCCACACATAGATTACGTCTTTGTTTGATGTGATTTTTTAATTGCTTCATTTAATTAAATTTTAAGAAGTGTTCTGGATGCTTGGACCACACACAACCATCTCCCCCACTCCCCTGCTACTCTTCTTAACCTCTTTCTTTCAAAAACAAACAACGATCTTCAGTTATGTCTCTTCTCATTCCTTCTGTATTTTATTTTTCCTCACTGGGCTGTTACATTATAATCTTTGGCACTTCCTTCTCTTTTCTTTGTTTAAAGTTATTTTTTCTTCTGTTCAACGTTAGCATTCCCTCATCATTTCGGACAAGGGAGAAATCTGCAAAATAATCTCTTATTCCCTGTTTCTCATCAGCAGGCCTGGACTTTTCTCAGCTCTGAAGACTACAGGAAAAGAACACTATTAGTTTGAAACATGGCCATTTTCAAAAGCACTACACAGACCTTCTCGGGGTACTAAAACTTCAGAATTGAAGGAGGTGAAGCACAAAGAATTGATTTATTTTAAGTGATAGGGCATAGAATAGCAATTCTTCTCGAGTCTAAACTCTATGACAAAATAATTTATTCTCCAACTACAAAGCAATCTTTTTCTTCTTTACTTGGCATTGTATTTAATTTTTTTATACAAAGTCATCCATTCCTTTTATATATTTTTATACACTTTACAGTAATTCTGATCAATTTCTGATTCACAGTGTCAAGCCTGTGACTTCCATTTTTAGAACAGATGCTTATCTGGCCCTGAACATCTATCATGGGTGTCCAAATTCTTGGCTCACCTGGGTCGCACTGAGTGAAGAGGAATAGTCTTGGATCACATGTAGAATATATTGTATAGTTAATATACATAAGTAACAAAACTTATGTTTTTATGTTTTTTATTAAAACATTAAAAAGGGGCAACAAAGTCATAAAACAAGCGAGATGGACAGGTATGGCAAATCGTTTCTTCTGAACATGCAAACTGTCTGCCGGTTTTGAAGAGCACAATGGAAATAGTCTTGAATCTGATGTCTCTGCCAGAGATATTGGCCATCATAACCCCCTTTCACACTTCTCATGAAGAGCCCATACCCTTAAAAATGCTTGGTTATGGGTATGGTAATGGCAATGGATGTTTTCAAAGAAACCAGACCTTCCACCCAGGATCTTTTCTCTTACAGCTGCAAGTTCAATGTGAATGGACAACAAAGTTCTCATGAAGCCTCACAACTAAAGATGCTACTGGAAGAAAGATATCTTTGCTATAAGAAAAAGACATAGAAATGAGCACAGTCATTTTTTGCCTCACCCAAGTAGATGTTTTCCACAGTCACACAGGAAGAGGAACAGCTCAACTTCTTCACTCCAGCCTGCCATAAGATTGATGAGCTATATGTATTAGTTATATATATGATCCTTTCCACACATTTTGAAGACAAAGTCCTCAAAATCTGTACTACTGGTATTCACTAAGTGCCATGTGAGCTCACAGCTCTCACATGTAGCAATGAAGCATTTAGATTCTGACTGATACATTTTAAATTCAGGAGATGTCTCAGGTTCTAGATGGGCTTCAGAAGAGTAAAATATAATGGGATAACAACAATTCTTTCTTCTCTGGAAGGATTTCAGGATCTTTCCTTGCATAAGGAATTTACCACTTATTTTCAGTTAGTTACTGAAGGCGAGTTTATACACCAGGCTTGTTCTGTAATAACTCTGTTCAGAACATATTCTCCTTTTCTGAGCCGTCTTTTTGTATTTCAATTCCAAACTAAAGGAAAATTATCTACAGAGGGCTGAGTTGTGGCAACATACATAAGAGAACTATGACTAGATGCTGTACTGCAGGGACACAGTTTAGTGGGCAAATATTGGTGATAGGCAGATGGTTGGACCAGGTGATTTTGGAGGTCTTTTCCAACATCAGTGATCCCATGATTCTATGATTTATATTGTACTGCTTTGAAATAAAGCATCATCGTATGTATCATCCAATAAATTCAGTATAAAACCAACCATTCTAGTCACAGGTCCTCTGACCAGATACTTACGATCTACCATTGTGCACATACATGTATAGCTAAGAAAGGTAAGCTGTTTTCTGACTGACATCTGCGTTTGGCAACTCCTGACATTGTTCTTAGGTTAGTTTCACAAATTACAATAATGTGCTTGATTAATGCATGGCATAATAGTCTCAAGAGGGTGTCACATACCTCTATATTTTACTTCTGATATTCACAAGCACATATGGCACAGACCATCTCAGCACGGGCTCTCTGCACCCCCATTGAAACAGCAATGCAAAAACCCACCAAGCCTCACGTCACTATCATTATTCTGCAGGCTCTCCTGTCACTCCAGCCTGCAGCAGCTGCAAAGGCTGAAAGTAGCAGCCAATCCCTCTTTCTTTGTCTTTGTTACATCCTCCTCCCAAACCAAAACAAGTAAGCAAACAAAAATTTTATTTTGCCTTTTGTCCTTTCTTTCTGAAGTCATTATTATTTTGTCCTTTCTTTCTGAGCACTATTTTTATGCTCTAGAAATACAGTGTCTCAGTAGAAGAAAGAGCTTAGAATATAGAATTTGTCCAATAATAATTACAAGTGAATTAGAGAAGATAGACATACCATTTCTCTATTTCCAAATGAATAAAGATTCCTGGGAGAAAAATGTTTTCAGGACTACTAAAAAATGTAACCCAGATT